GCGGTGGTGGCAGGTAAGCGTGTAAAATTACGATAAAGGTGGGGTGCGCCGTGCTAAAATACACCTGTAGCGGTGGTGGCAGGTAAGCGTGTAAAATTACGATAAAGGTGGGTGGATTTGCAGTGCCTCAGGGGTCTGGTTAACGGTGCCTGATCGCAAGGGGAATGTGGCTAGAGTTAGAATTACATGGATAGGGTTACGGTCACGGTTAGGCTTAGGTTTAGGTTTAGGGTTAGGGGTAGGGTAACGGTTAGGGTTAGGGTTAGGGTCAGGGTTAGGGTTAAGGTTAGGCTTAGTGTTAGCGTTAGTGTTTGCCTTATGTTTCTGGTTCAGGTTATGGTCAGGATTATGGCTAGGCCAGGGTTCGGACTCAGGTTAGGGTTAAGGTTAGTGTTAAGGTTACAGTTATGATTAGGGTTAGTGTTTGTGTTAGGGTTAGGGTTAGGGATAGGGTTAAGGATTGGGTTAGGTTTAGGGTTAGAGTTAGGGTTGGGGTTAGGGTTAGGTTGATGAATAGGACTACGGTTAAGGTTACTGGGCAATGGGAAGATAATAGCAATGGCAATGTAATAGTGTTTGATTGAGAACTTTGCAAACACACCTTCTCCAGAGCCGAGCAAAAACCAGGTTTGTCACAGGTGAATGGCAGCTGGTGCACTAGCGCCACACGGTGAGTCATTGCCTCGACCATGACAGTCAGTGAGTGTTTCCTCACTGCCACATGAAACACAAGAACAGTTCGTTATGGTCGGGAGTCGATGATGACGCCACCTATCAACAGCGTTAATCGAACGCATGGCAACGACTGCTCGACAGCCTTGCTTGCGATCACTATAATAAAATGCCTTATACTTGAAAATGCATTAAATATACATGGCAACCATATAAATTTTACTCGACTCTCGAGTGCTGTAAATATTGGTCAGCAAACACAGAACAATTAGAAATATTAGAAACATCGTGAGAGACTTCCAGCCGACTTCCTTCTACTGTTGCTAGGCAAATATTCCAGCTAGAAACAACACACGGGTTCCTCTCGCGAAGGTTTTCCACGACAATATTAGCATTTTAATCAAGTTTAGAGATAACATCGCGAAAGGTGGGCTTGCCGCCCCTGTTCGGCAGTTATGAAATATAGCCCGCCCCTCTCAATCACCATTCTGCTCTGTGTACCCAGTCCTACTTAACCACTGCAAGGCAGCAGGTGCTCGTATTAGTGCAGCGGACTAATCGATTGGCTAGAGAAGAGTGCAAACAAAGCTGCGCCTGCATTACACGAATCCTTAGCAACGTGAAGTGCAGACGAGGCAAGCAGCAGATGGCTGCTGGCGAAAACATAATGGTTAGGTACGTGCGCGTGTGCGCGTGCATGAGGAAGGGGGGGGGGGGACGAATCCGTGCCCGCCAAGGACACAATTAAATAATTTTTTGTTTGCCCTCACCCGACCCAGGCTGAAAAGTTTGGGTAGGTAGGTAGGCTTTTTTTTTAATGGGTCTTTTTACAAATTCAACATGGTGTCTACATGCTCTGGTGTGCTTGTGTGGAGATACCTTTTATGTTGAATGTTTGTTTTGCTTGGTACATACATGTATTGCCTACAGATTTATATAATGTACAGTGATACAATTTGTAAAAAAAGAAAGAAAGAAAGATCAATACAATTTTTTGAGTCGGCCCCTTTTTGGCGGGTCGGTCGGGTGAGGGCACATACAAACAATATTTTTATTATGGTCCCAGTCGTGTGGCGTACGTACTTCTCATGGATGAGTCAGAAACCATGATGAGGTCGTGTCTCGCCGCCTCGTACCCAGGCATCATGTTGTTTAGCTTTGGATTTATCCCAATCTTCTTGCCACCTGCGAGAGAGCAACACTAACGTCACGAGCGCTGCATACAAGTTTTAGATACGCGCGCTACAAACACGTCTCAGACACGCGCGCTGCACACAAGTTTCAGACACACGTGCTGCATACAGCTATCATACACGCGCATTTCCACCGATTACGCACGCTACATCAGCTAACAACACCATAGCGATGGGCACAACAAGCTAGAATCCTTACCTAACAGTAACAGAGGCCACCGTGGCCTTTTGCAAACTCTGGCCATCTCTAAACGCCCGACTCCACCCACAAGCTTCTCTCGTGAATCGGCCACCTCTTGACGGAATGAGGTCGCCACTGGGTGGCGCCACTACGCGGCGACGTACCTATAAACACTCTAGCTGCGACGTCTGGGTAACGGCGCATGAGGTCAGAAATGATCGCCGTCAACGCATTGTTCTCCTCGTTCAAACAGAAGAGCAGCTCGTACTGAAACAAGCAATGGTACGCACGTAGTAGCTACGGTATGTCGAACGTAGAATCCACGCGCCGCTGGTGATGTGATGTACATGTAATAATATAATCATAATAAATATATAGATTATAGAGACAGAGAGAGATGCATGCACGCACGCAAGCACACACGCACACGCACACACACACACGCACGCACTCACATTTACATATAATCAGACAGGGGTAGATAATGACAAATTGTCATTATATACCCCTGATATAATTGTCCTATAGGTGGGGGCGGACATCCGGGAACTTTTGACTATTTGACCGGATGTAGATTCGAGCCGATGAAAACAAACCGTAGTAACGCACCGCTCAATGCACGCAGCGCATAGTGCCAAGGAATTATGTGGTGTTTGGATGCTGCAATCACAGTCTTTCCAGTGACAAAAAACGATCATTCTTTGAGCTGCCGTAGCCCGAGAGGAGAGACAGATAGCTAACAGCAATTAGTCAGGAGAACGAAGACGGCGTAGCAATGGTGAGAAACAGTGGGAAACGGGCGAGTAGTCTCGCTGAAAGGCAGTTTTTTGCACACTTCCTGTGAAGTCACATGTTTCTCGGTCAAAATGAACAAAGAAGACCTTCAAGAACACCCCTGTCGAGTTTAAAGGGGCTACCCCCCCCATTTACGGAAATGACATGTCTCAATCTGGACATCATCTCTATCCTTGAACCGCAGGGGCTCCATTCGGGCGGTGTCTATATTCAAGCCGGTACAGGAGATTACGGTACACATATATTTGCTAATATATTGACTAATCGTGCGTCAATAAACTCAATAATTACAGAGAGTATAGCTAAGACATGTGTCTATAGGTATCTAGAATTTTAGAAATTTAATCATCTGAAATTCACCTCCGCGCGCATACCTAATCGTGCATGACTAGCATGACTAATCGTGCCGCTTCGTGCGTCAATAAACTCAATATTCACAAAGAGTATGAATTCAACCCGGTATAGGAGATCTTTTGCATAATATATTCTAGATACCTATAGACACATATGTCTTAGCTATACTCTCTGTGAATATTGAGTTTATTGACGCATGATTAGTCAATATATTAGCAAATATATGCGTACCGTCATCTCCCGTACCGGCTTGAATATAGACGCTCCCAGCCGATTCGCGCTTTGTTTTCATCGGCGCGGCTCACCGGACGTATTGCTAAGGGGAAGTGACGTCACACCGCACCCACCTATGCACCATACTTAACAGTGAGTAATACGTGAAGGGTTACGTGGGGGAGAAGGGTCACGGCCCTAGCTCCCATGGATCACGCTCTCACCTCAGGGTAGGACAGCGTGAAGAACGTATGAAGATTCTCTTCCAGGTTCTCAGCACATCCTGTCAGCGGCTTCAAGATCGACACTCCCCGCGCCGCGCCATGCTGCGTCGCCGATGGCGACCGCCGGCGGTACAACCGCCATCGCCTAGGCAACAAGTAATCGCTACTTCAAACAACTCTAGAGACGAATTCGTTCAAAAAAAGTTTGCGATTTGAAGAGTTCCACGTTTTGCTACGATACCATTTCCCGGCTAAGATAAGATGGTTCTGTCCAAGATTCATTTGGCAAAAATTTTGCTCCCAGTTGCCGCTTTCTAGATAGCTAGCTGTGTTCCCCGAAAGTTAGACTCTAACTAGCTATAAGGAAAACAAATGTAAATACGAATGTAAAGACTGCATTATTGCGACTCTAACATACCCGTATATGATGGCAGTGATGTGTATCACCCAGAGCAGCATCCACAATGTGACACAGGTGCCAGCACCGGCACGCCCGATGTTGTGGAACAATAGCGACCATCGCACGGGGGCGATTGCGGATAGCGGCCATCCCATGCTTGTTGGTGATATGTGCTCCTGTCCCGACTAAAATCTGTCAAGTAGACTACATTTAGGCTTCACTTCATGTCCGTAAAAGACACATTTTTTGGATAGTAAAGCAAGATGTGTAGATATCTCTTGAAATTTTAATGTTAGTTCAGGGTTCGACACTAACGCTAGTCCGTTAGTCCGAGACTAGTAAAAAATCAGAAGGACTAGTAGATTCCCATAGCAGTTAGTCCGGCGGGACTAGTTTTGTAGTGTCAGTTTACCTGTAGTGTTAGCTAGTGTTAACTTACCTGTAGTGTTGACAGTAAGGTGTAGTCCAGTGCGGCCCAGGCTGCGACGTGAGTCACGTACAGTGACGCTGCGCAGGCGGCGGACAGTCCCAGCAGGTATGTGATGCTGATGACAGCCAGCAGGCCCGCGGTCAGACACTCGGACATCGGCTCGAGGATGAGGTTGGACGGATGCATTGCGACGCGTAGCTTAGTCCACCTGAATTGCCACGCGAGGTGAAAGCGTGGTAAATACCTTTCTCAAGTCTGCATTGCATAAAAGGTAAACAAATGTATATACTGTCTGCCTCTCTGGTATATTAATTCTCACGGAAATGACTATACTATAGGGCACTTTGTTGGTAAGCATTATTTTAAGTCTTATCGCAGTGCTGATTGGCTATAGCTGCCTGTCAATCTCCCAAGGCACATTTAGGCTGATTAGAAAATAAAAATTTTAATTCGAAATAAAATTATCGTCCGCCTGCCTTTTGATGAGGAATTGCTGGATCCGTCACCTATCACAGCAAGAATTTGGCCTCATTTATAGCTTACAAACTAGTTCCGGCGCCTTGTATCGGGCTTCGCCTTATAAACCCTACTGGCCTTTGCTTGCTATAAGGTAATTGCTGCTGCGAATCTAAACCCTTGGCCTGTCCAAGCTAGCAACAGCTTGACGCTCATCGGTGTACAGGACCTGCCGCTTTTTTACATAGCATTTGCATTTCTAATGGGGCGTTTCGCCATTTACTAAT